CTTATTTATAATAATAGAACCCACCCACTCCACATAAAACTGTAGTTAGACATTCAACCATTTGACTTCTGTATACATTTTTAGGAATAAATTATGCATGAAGGTAGGATGTTGCCTGAACCTCTCTTATGGAGTTTCTCACCACCTTGCCTGTATTAAATGCATTTGTACATATGTTCTATCTCCTCTTCTGCCAGGCTGTACTATATAAAATTGCCTTTTTAAGTTACAAAAAACCCAGCTATTTCATATGTTTCACCCTAAGAGGTTGAAAGCTTTTGGGTTTGGGCTCCTCTTAGTCATCTCTGCATCTCTCACAATATCTTATACATGAGAGGGTATCAATAAGAAATTGCTCTTACAGGTCTTCTACTTGAAACACTTCTAGTTCCATCAGACAACACTTTCCCACCTTACCTTCTATTCTCTGCCTTAAAAAAACAAAACAATTCTCTATCTCTTCGGGTAGCTTTTGCTTCTCCTTGTAGTAACTTTTATTACCAACCCGTAGCTTTTATTCCCTAAGCATGGGGTCCTGGATTTAGCTCTTTCTTCTCCTCTTTCTCTTCCCTGAATTCATATACTTTCATCTCTTCCACAATCACTTTTACCCTGAAGATTCTGCTAGCTATGCCCAGTCATAACCTCATACCTCAGCAATACGACATCAACTGGATACCTGCTGGCCTCATGCTGCTGCAAACCCAAAATGTTCAAAGTAGAATCACCATTTAAAACAGATCTCCCCTCAACACCCCCACTTCTATCTTGAATGCCACAGTTCTTCTAGGTTGCCAGGATAGAGACACTGAGTCACTTCTGACCACTATGGTTCTATTCTTTATCCAGTCAGTTATCCAGTCCTGTTAAGTTTCTTGAATATACTCCTACTTCCTTTCTGCTCCCCTTCCTTTTCTCTTTTTTGTTTTGCTCTTACATTGTGTATAGATTACCCCCAAAACCCTCATCGCAGCCTTCTCTTTCCCTCATGTTCTCTCCTCACCCAAGAACCCAGAGGGTCCACTACCAAGCTGCCACACCCAATCTGAACTTCTCTACTTGCTACCAAAGAGCTATCATTTGGGGTCTACTCTACTTATTTAACCTTATCTTCCACTGCTCTTGAAAATATCTGTGTTCTCATATCTCTACTAAAGCACATTTCACATTATACTCTTTACACAGCTCTTTTTCCTGTTAAGCAGAGATTTTTTTTTTTTTTTTTTTTTGAGACAGGGTCTAACCCTGTCATCCAGGCTGGAGTGCAGTGGTGCAATCATAGTTCACTGTAGCCTCCAACTCCTGGGCTGAAGCGATCCTCCCAACTCCTGAGATGCTAGGACTACAGCATGCATCACTATGCTGAGCCAATATTTGTTTTTTGTGGAGATAGGGTCTTGCTATGTTGCCCAGGCTGGTCTCAAACTCCTGGCCTCAAGAAATCCTCCTGCCTTACTCTCTCCAAGTGCTGGTGTTACAGGCATAAGTCACTATGCTCAGCTTAACCAGGAATGCCTAAGCTTATGTTAGTTCCTATACGAATCGAAACAGAGCATAGTAACTCATAGGTATTTAAAAGGAATTTGTTGAATAATTAGATTGATTGTTACTCAGGATACGATCAGACAGGAAGCTACTGGAGTAAACCAGCTATAAAGTGGAAAAGTTGCCTCTTCCAGGTTCTTGTACCACCTTGTATCAAATACTTTCCTTCCACACTTATCCTGACTTTAAATTACATATCTAATTGTGTGATTTGTGTAATGCCCATTTCTTCATCTATTATAAGTGCTATGCAGAAGAGGCAGTTTGCTCCTTGCTACACCCCAAGGCACAAAGGAGTTCAAGGAATGTGCAATGAAAATTAGACGAATGTGTTAGGAACCTTCCCTTTAATAAAGCTGGATCCCACACTAGCCCCTACACCCTCTCATCACCAAATATTCCTGCTTCCTCTCACCTGCACCTGCTGTTCTCTCCTCTCCTACACAAAGCTACCTCTCCAGCCTGGGTCCCACCTGCTTCATAACAACTTTCCTGACTATTCCAGACCCTTTATCCATCTCGAACTTTTCATCACATCTATGTTGTACATAACACCAGTGATCTCTTAATAAGATCATTACTGCTTATACTCTAATTGCTTCCTGTATCCGAAATATTCTCTCCAACCACATATGAACCCCTACACTTCTCTTCTATCTTCCAATACCTTGTACAAGCACAGAATTGGTCAATCAATAAATACTCACTAGGTATTTGAGGAAAAAAAATGATGCCAGGTACCATCTTTATCAGAAACCAAATCAATTCTTCTAGCCTTGGAGAAACCACCCTATTCCTGGTATAGGTGATCCTAATCAGAGCAACTCAGATGACTTGGAGATTAACATATCTGAACCTTAATTTGTAATAAATATGTCCATAAATTGAGAATATGATATAGTATCAAAAATCAAATGCTACTTTAAATTAGGAGGAGATTACCAACAGAATAAATCCATGAATCATTTTCTAAAGCAAATGATTCCTCCCCTAAGTCTTCATTTATCACATCCTAAAATAACATTTTATTATCAGATGATTATCTTATCATAAAGAGAATAAGACTTGGGAAAGATAAGAAACTCTGAGGAGAAAACATCTGGAGGAAATTCTCATTCTGGCTTAAGACGTCATGTTCTCCTCAACCTTAACCCCATCTTCTTGCACAGAGCTGGCTTTTAAAGGATAATTTGTGTCCTGTATTATTAAGGCAATAAACAAAAATAGAAAATGAGGAAAATAAGATACACTTGGCATTAATTCTTAAATTCATTCATTCATTCATTTATTTATTCCACAATATAGTGGAATCTACAATACAGTAAGCATCAACTACACACCACATATTATACTAGGCACTGTGGGACACTAGACAAACTTATACAGTCCACTATGGGAAGATAACAGAAGGCAGACAGTGCAGAATGCCCTAAGAGAAGAACAAATAGAATGCTGTAAGAATTCAGAAGACGGAGAACTTTCTTTCTTCTGGGAGAATCAGGAAAATTTCCTGGAACAAGGAGTACCGGAGATGGGTCTTAAGACATAGGCATGGCTTAGACATGCAAAGATATAAAGACTGACCACATAGCTCAAATAACAGGATGCCAGTGACCCACTGGAGCGAATGTTCTGTTTGGCTAAGGTATGGTGGAACAGAAACAAGAAAGAAGGTTGGAAAGCTGTTTGAGACCAGATGTAGAGGGGCTTAAAAACCAAGCCAAAATGCATGCACCTCTGTTACAGACAGCACTTCTCAAATGTCAGTGTGCACACAAATCACCTGGGGATCTTGTCATAGTAGGACTGGAATAGGACCCCAGAGTCTTCATTTCTAACTGTGCAGATGATGCTGACACTGAGAGACTACGATTTGAATATCAAGAACATAGATGGGCTAGGTATGATGGCTCACACCTGTAATTCCAGCACTTTGGAAGGCTGAGGTAGGAGGATTACTTAAGGCCAGGAGTTTGAGACCAGATTGGGCAACATAGCGAAACCCTGCCTCTAGAGAAAATAAAATAAAATTCAAATAGCTGGGTATGATGGTGCACAACTATAGTCCCAGCTACTCAGGAGGGAGGCTGAGGCAGGAGGATCCCCAGAGTCCAGGAGTTTGAGGCTGTAGTGAGCCAAGATCATGCTATTGCACTTCAGCCTGGGTGACAGAGCAAGACCTTATCTCTAATAATAATCATCATCATAATAAAAAGAATATAGACAATGGGGAGACATTGAAAGTTTTACAGAAAAAAACTCTCTGATCACTAGCGTTTTCCAGAAGACTACTTACAATCACAATGAAGCAGGCAGACTGGAATGGGGAGAAGCTGCAGATCAAACATGTCCAACCCACCGCCTGTGGGCCACATGGGGCCGTCCAGCCCAACACAAATTTGTAAACTTTCTTAAAACATTATGAGGGATTTTTTTTTTGCAATTTTTTTTTAAGCTCATCCACCATTGTGTTAATGTATTTTATGGGTAGACCAAGAAAATTCTTCTTCTTCCAGTTGGCCCAGGGAAGCCAAAAGATTGGACACCCCTGCTGTGGACTGTGGTCCTCAATGCTGGCTGTTCATTAGACTCACCTGGGAAGCTTTTACACCACCCTGTTATCAAGGCCCCACTCATTTAATTGGTCTGGAGTGGGGCCCAGATTTCTGTATTTTTTTAAAGTTCTCCAGGGAATTCTAATAATGTGCAACCAGGGTTGAAAATCTCTGCTACAGAAGATATAGTAAATACTGCAATCATTCAGGCAAAAAAGATAATGATCTAAACTAGGGCAATGGCAGTGGGAACCCAGTGAAGGGGCCAGCTGTATAAAATGAAGTCAATGTAGAAGAAATAGACCTTAGCAATGCCTAGACAGGGATTTAAATATAACAGCTTCAACATCATTTATTTCTTCTAGTTAAAGACAGTTTGGTGAAATGGTTAAAAATATAGACACTGGAGCCAGACTGCGTGGGTTTGAATTCCAGCTCTACTACTAGGGGTGTGTGAGTGAGTGTGAGTGTGAGAGTGTGTGTGTGTGTGTGTGTGTGTGAAAAAGAGAGAGAGAGAGAGAGAGAGAGATTGACAGACCCTGAGTTAACCTCTATGTCTCAGTTTCCTCATCTATAAATTGGGGATGGTAACAATAACCATCATATGGAGTTGCTGGAATTAAGCAAGCTAACATATATGTAAAGCCCTTAGTAGTATGCCTGGCAGTAGAGCTATAAATGAGTTTGCTGTTATTATTAGCATGGTTCATCACCTATTCTCATCTCTGTGAAGCTGAATTGCACATAAGACTGATCTGGAAAAGGAGAAGTCCTTGAGGGCTTTCAACCAATCTGAATCTAGTAGCTCCTGAATCCAGATGAATCTAAGTGGCGTACCCTGCCCACCCACCCTGGACCCCATTCCAAGGTCTTTGAGAGTAATAGCCACAGAGCCCCTACTTGAATTGCTGGTCCTTGGTGCTGCGTGTCTTGGCCAGGAAGCGTTCAGCCAGCTTCTCCAGGTTGCGGGAGTAGTCCATCTCAATCTCTGCCTTCTTTCGGAAGAAGTCCTGGAGGTCCTGCAACAGCTGTACTCGGAGCTCACACTGCTGGTCCAGGCATTTCATCTGCTCCGTGAGCTGAGCACGGATCTCTACAACAAAAACAAGAGAAGACAGTCAGAAAGACAGCCTTAAATATAGCAACCGTGCATATCAATATTCACCCACCTTCCATTTACTTATTCCCTGTGCCCCAGGAAATTCAAAGCCCTAAACAAAAAAGCCTAAAGTCTAAACTAGCCATATGATATGAGCCACTTCCAAAAACTCCAACCCTTTTTACACCATTAAAGAACACTGTGAACCAGGAATCTGCTGAATCACTTAGGAGAAGCTCCTTATTAAACATAATAATATTCCTATCTACCATTTAAATTACTGTATTTCTAGTAGCACAGAGCCAGAATCTGGCTGTCTTCTGGAAGAGGGCCCAAATGAATTATCAACCCAACCATCCTATGAGGCAGATACCACCTCATCTCCATTTTAAAAACGAGAAAACTGAGTCTTAAAGAAGTCAAACTTTTAAGTGGTAAAGCTGGGATTCAACCAGACAGACTGACTTTAGAGCTCATGCTCCTACTTTTTGCACTTTTACCCATCATTTCAAAATGTTGTTTAGCATCTTCGTGAAGTAGGATGAAGGTCAGGATATTTTAATGGAGATAGAAAATTTCCCAAGCTCAAACGGTAGCAATCAAGACCAAAATAAGCACAAGAACTTCTAGGCAAGCAAACCATTCACTGTCAATCAGATTCCACAGTTTCCAATGTCACAGAATGAAAATCATTTTTTAAGAAGACTTGGAAAGAGATTTTTTTTTCACTAACAAATATCACTCATATCTGTGTTGCTTAATCTTCATGGATGCTGAAGTGCCTCTGCAGTGTCATAGCTAGAAATATTTCTGGTTAAGCTCTAGCATGCAGATTTCTGGCTGGTCAGTCCTTGTAGGGAGCTAGCAAATACTCTCTCTGGAACTGTTGCAAAGGCAGCTACAGATGCGACCAGATCTGCCTCAAATGCAGCACTGCATTTGTTACTGACAAGAGACCTGGCAGTCACAGGAAGCAGTCTGCCAAAGCCAGACTGATTTTCAGCTCAGAGAAGGCCTGCAGTGTGTATCCTGCTGAAGTTATGTCCCAATCCCCACCTGAGTCAGAATGGAGCCATTTCTTTCATCCTTTTCCTCTGCAAGCCTGCTCAGCTCCAAGTACATTAGGATGTAACAATGACTCCAATCCCCCAGAAAAGGAGCACCTAAATTCTGCCTTTTCTTATTATGCGCACCCCAGATTTATTCCCAAATAGTACAGTTGTAACAATACTTTCTGTCTATGCTGTGTAATGCATCATTATGGGGAGAGGGGGTCTAGAGTTTTCACATAAGCTGCAGATACATCAGAGGCAAATCAGGATCAGAATTATGATGCTGAAATGTTCATGAAGCAATGAGGATGGGTAAATGATGCATTTGGCTTTTCCTTGAAATAGCTGAGGCTCCATAATCCATCCCCATCTACATTTTTCTTTCTGTTTTTGCAAATATCAGTATGTCCTTTGTGGATGATCTCAGGTGATCTGTAAGCACAATTCCCACCCTCTTCATCCTCATATCTCTCCCTGTCAACCACCAATGCCAACCAGCCTGCAGTAACCTCACCTGAACTGAAACTGAGCTCCAAAGGATTGTTTCAAGCAGACAGAAGGCTGTGCAGAAAAGCTGCCTACCTCATCACTCATCAAAGCTCTCTTATTCTGCGTTTTATGGAGTCTGATTACAAGGGTTTTGAGGGTAAAGATCTACAGAGGTCATGTCAGGCATCTGGTTCTTGCCAGGGTTTTTTTGGTCTCTTAAAGGTAACGGCCCTTATTGAGACTATGTCCTCCTTCAATGTATCAATGAAAAGCTGACTGTAATAGACATTGGGTGAGCAGACCATGCAATGAGAGGGCATTCAGAATGCTAATTAATATTACTTAAATCTCATCCATGAAGTAAGAACCAGGGCCTCTTAGGATGTAAAGGCTTTCCAGGTACTGCTTCAGTAACAGACATACAGGGGATATGGATGGGCAGTAGGCTGTCAGGTCCCTCTGAGTTCCCTGTAACGTACTTAAGATTTTGGCTCAGTCATCTCACTAACCAGGGGAATAGAAAGGAACAGTTAGTTGGATGACAGCCACCTTCTGCCAAAAAAAGAGGGAACCAGGCAAAGTCCCATGAAGTTCCAGAAGCAGGCCACTCCAGAGTTATCCTGTCTACGGAACAAGTACTTCATAGGATGCCTCTGAGATATATGATTTAATATAAGAAACCCCCAAGCACATCCAGCCAGCAAGGAATTCCAGCCTGACTATGTCAGGTGCCCCAGTGAGGGCATCACAGTATATGCTGCATCACAGGTACTCCCTCTGGGACCCTGAAGGAAAGGAAGCATGTGTTTACTGAACATATTTTATGGGCCTTTTAATATATCATCTCATTTAATTCTCACAGGTAGTCTGTAAGGTAACCACAATTATCCCGATTACACTAAGGAGAAAACTGAAGTAAGACTCACTAAATAATTTACCAAAGGGTCAACAGTTGTGCAAATGGAGCTGGAGCTAAATTAAGGTTGGTCTGACTTGTCAAAGAGGTTAATAATAGGTCAGAGAAACAAAAACAAGAGAAACAGAACACCAGTTTGGAGTCTCTGAAGGTATTCATGGGTAAATCATGACCAAAGTGACCGTGCCTCTTACTCCTGGAACATCACCTTTTCCACCTTCCAGCTGAGGGTTGAGTCAGGCCCCTAAGACAAGTTTGGACTCGCCCACCAACTCATTCGCTAGCTATGTTTCAAACTGTCCACAACCAGACTGGATCCCTTCCCCACTTCCTAGATCTACTCTACAGGACAGCTTAATAGGAAGTTCTTCTCTTGTCCTGTGAGTGCACCCTGAGGTCTACCAGGAAGCCTAGAGGACAGAGACTGTGAGAAAGCAATATCCACACCCCTGACCCAGGAAAAAACAAAGGAGGGGGGCAGGCTCTGTTAATAGATACCACCTGCCAGTGTGGTTTATTTGTGACATGACACCACTGAGCAACTTCCCTCCCCCACAACTGACCAAAAAGGAGAAGGGGAACAAGAAGGAGGAGGAGGAAGGAGGAGGAGGTGGAGAAGGAGAAGGAAAAGGAGAAGAAAGAGAAAGAAGAAGAAAGAAGAAGATGCCTCTCTTGTTACCATCCTCAAAGCATCCACTCAGGCATTTAAAGGAAATTCTAACCACTCGCACTCTTAGATGTACAGCTCCAAGACAGGACAATTGTTCTATCCAGAGCAAAATGTGTTCCCTTAGGCGCTGCTGCTGCTGCTCCTACAAAGACAAACAATGGTCCCCAAGAAGGCAGCTATGCTGGCCCCAGTCCCCATCCATGCACACAAGGGGCAGGAAACAATGGGCCAATGAATACCAGCACTCCTGGGCCATGTGCCCAGGCTGGAGGCCCCTCTGAACCCTGGCCTATCAACAAACAAAAGGGTAGAAAGAAGAAAGAAGCCATTATAAAAACAGAGGAATTCCTCACAGTTCCCTCGTGTGCTTAGGCGAGCATGCATATGCACATCATGTGTGCACACTCAGACTCACACCACTCATACCACTTACACCATGCTTCATGATACCAACTCAAGAAGGCTTTACAAATCTGGTGTACAGTTCAATGAGAGAGTTCTTTAGAGTTATGGAGACGGTTGGGTCCTTGCCAGTTGCTTCCCTAGAGATACATGGGAAGAAGTCAAACTTTCACTTTCTAGAAGCAGCTATATCTTAGGGGTATGAACCAATTATTTGGCTAGTCACAAAGCCAAAGTACTAAGGTCACCATGAGCCACCTGGAGTGCTACATACTCCCAATTGGCCTCCACTGAGCACCCAATAGAGCCCATTTATTCAGCAAATCTTACTGAGCCTCTTCTGTATGGAGGCACTGTGCTAGGTGATGGTGACAAAGGAGAAAAAGACAGGTTTAAGCCCTATCCTAATGAGGCATGGCTTGACAAAGAAGAAAAGGACAAAAGAACACAGAAAGTCTTATTGCTTCTGCTTTAAATATTCTTTACTGTAACGAAGCTGTGGATATGAGCCCCAACCTGAAGATCTAAGATTTAAAAATCATCAATAGCAGAAAGAAATCACATAACAAGCCTAAGAAAAGTCTAATGGCTTCTGACATTTTTTCCTGTTATACTTTTCAAAAATGACACTTGAATAAAAATTGTAGCTTCCCTTGCAAGAGAAACCAAAAATTTTTTAAAGGTTCTTGAGAATCAGAGTTGACCTCTGGTTGATATTTCATGCAGATTCAAGACAAATTTAAACCTCGCTGTTTTGAAATTGAGATAGTGATGATTGTTGCTCAATTTTGTGAATATGTTTAAACAACTGAACTGCACACTTTAAAAGAGTGAATTTTACAGTATGAGAATTATATCTCACTGAAAAAAAAGATTAAAAAATTTAACCCCACCAAGTAACATATTCTGTTGAGCACCATCTACCAGTGAAGGAGAAAATAACCCAACAAACAGGAACCAAAAGGAGGAACGGATTCTTGGTTTCCATTTCCCCAGGTGTATAAATTAAACAAATTCTGCATTGACTATTCCTACTACAGCAAAGCTTGGATGCTGCCCCTCTAGGCAGTGGGCTTGGCCATGACCTGATCCACTGGTGGGTCACCATTCCATCGTTTCTAAAGGGTGTCAGATAAAGACCTGGCAGGGAGTGTTTTTACATGTGAATTCAAATCCAGGATCACAAGACACACTCACAAAGTTTCCCCCTGGAAATGCTGCCTCCTTGTCCATGCTTGGCCACAGCTGAGATACTAACTACACTCATCCTGGTATTTAGAGAGAGGCTTATTTCCTTTTCAGAAAGATGCTGAAGGGTCTCAATAAGCATGCAACTGGAAGAAAAAAACGAACCCTAATAGGATACTGGTCACTTAACAAAAAACAGGCAGGGCCCTGCCAAGCTGACAATCACGTAGACTCTAAATTATAACACCTGCCAATGCAGATGACACAGTCCTCTGAA